AGAGGTTTGTGTGTCCCTGTGTCTGGCCTTTCCTTTCAGGATCCTGTGTCCAGGATCTTCTCCATGTTCTGAGAGGCAAAGAAGCTCAAGTTTTGCTCATCCCTCCTTTTCTAGAGGCCCCCAGCCCTGCCAGGAAAATAGAGTGAGGTCAGAGTCCAGAAAGAAGGCTGGCTCTGGGGCTGACCAGCTGGTGAGCCCTGTTCTGCTGTTGGGGAACTCAGATAAAGGGTTACCTTGGAGGGGCCTGATCCTCTGATGTACTAGGTCCTGGAGAGGCCATAGGGGAGGGGGAAGCCAGCTTTTATGTGGGCACTTCTGAGCAGAGCAGGGACCCAGAGGGAGAGGCATATGTAGGGAAATGTTGGGAGGGCAGGGAGTTCCTGTTTTCAGCCCTATCAGGACCCAGACTTCCTGCCACTTCATGAGTCTGGGGTTCAGAACAGCCTGGGCTAGTAACTGCAGGAAGAGCATGGGCAGAAGTTGGGGTGGGAGCCTTGAGGTGGTTGAGACCACCTAATGAGAGACCAGAAGGCACCAGACAGAAATGTGAGAAAACCCAGAAAAAGGAAAACCTTGACCCAGACCCAAAGAGTGAAAATCAGTTCAGATGGGAAAAGATAGGAAGAACGCCTGCAGTTATTCAGCTAGTTGGGAGGACAGACACAAAATCACAAGGAAACCTCATTTCTCCTGAGGTCTTGCAACAGCTGTAAAATGTCTCAAGGACCCCCACTTGAGTGCATAATGCTGTCCTCCAATGATGCTCTGAATCCGGCTTCATTCCAGCATCCACTTCACGGCTAACGCCCATATAGGGCGAAGAGCCCAAGTCAGGATGGCGGACACCCTGGATTTTCCGGGACTTGCTGAGCAGCATCATTGACATAGGATGTCACCAGACCCTTTCTGAGGCTCCTCCCACTTTTCACTGGGCGCTGTTAATGATTGTCTCCCCACCTCGGGGGTGGGGCGGGGCGCTGCATCCACCAGGAGACCCTGCCCCTGAGGAGACCCAGGAGGGGGCGGGGAGGGCGCTGTGTGCGGTGCTGAAACAGGATCTCTATTTGAGCTCAGGTACCTCCCAGTTCTTCAGAAGGCTCTGATGCCAGAGTCTTCTGTCACAGTTTGGGGTCAGGGGGACACAAAGAGGTGGGTATGGATGGAACCAGGAAAGGAAGACACAATCATGAGTGGAGGGAGCTTGTTTCCTCTCTCTGCTCCCTCTTCCACATCTCCTGTTCACTCTCAGGTATTGTCGTCCTTTGCACATGTCTGTCTGTCCCACGTGGCTGAGCCATAGGGCAGGAGGATGTTCTTGCTCCCTGTCTCTGTTCACTGCCCTCTGTACTGTTCCTTTAAATAGCTTGCTACATGCCACCCGCACCACATCAAAAAAATAACAACAAAAACTCTAAAAGTGAGAGGCTAGTCTTCACAGTTGACAAAGGAGAAAACTCAGGGTCAGGGTCAGGAATATAAGGCACTATGCCTGGATCCCTTTCTCCAGTTATGTCACCCACCCCAGTGGTCCTGGGCAGAAGAGGATAGTCTTGGGCCTGATAGGGAAGGTATACACTCCCTGGACATGTATTTCTGGTTCCAACTGATCCCTCTTGTGGGTAGACTTGGACACACCTAACATTGTCAGAGGGACTTGGCGAGGAAGGAACCTACCTGGCTGCCTTCTGAATCTCAGTCAGGATTTGGGAAATAGTGGGTCTGAGTTTCTGTCTTCTGTTGGGTCAGGAGACCGACGTGCACTGCCTCTGTGTTGTTCTAGGGGCCCTAAACCAACTCGTCTTCTTACCACACTCCAGGATTCTCCTCTGGTTGTCTCTTGCACCATCCACAGGGTTATAGTTGTCAGTAAAGGGGGATGAGCAGGGAACAATGACTCAATGCCATACTGCCTGGATTGGAAGTCTAACCATCAACTTTTAATGTTTTCTACAGACAGGTTGATTCATATTGCCCAGCGTGACATTAGCATAAACAGAAGTCCGACTCAGCTGTTTCTTCCAGGTTTGAGGGTTGGGGAGCTTAGGCGTCAGGCATTTTTTCCCATGACACTGGAATCTGCCACTTGTTTACTTAGGGACCACTTTATGAGCTGATACATAATGTTTTACCCCTGTCATCATTTGGGTACCGCAGGAGAATTTGGGGCTGTTTTGGTTTAAGCTGATTTTCATTTAAGTTAAAATACTAGGTTTTTTAGGAGAAAGGTTATGAGTTCCTGCGTCCCTCCACCTTCTCAACCCGGGCATTATTTTTGAGCTCATTTTGAGAGATAGGAGGGTGTAAGCCCAATGGTGACATGGTGATGGAAATCCATGGAGGAAGGATGTGGATGCCCAGAGACGGTGAGGAATGCATTAGATGTGGGTACTTAGAGGATGGCTTCAGAGATTGATGGGTTAGGGAATAGTGACAGAGAAGTGGACTGGGTGACGTTAAGAACAGCCTATGATAGAGGTCAGAAAGTTACAGCCTGGGAGCTGACTGCCCTTGTAAATAAAATTTTGTTGAAACACAGCTACATCAGTGTTTGAGCTTATCTATGTCTTGCATTTTCACTGCAAGCAGAGTTGCAACAGAGACCAGATAGCTTGCAAAGCCTGGAATATTTGCTATCTGGCTCCCTACAAACAAGTTTCCTGAGTCTGGACCTAGAAAGTCAAGTGAAACGCTTGTAGATCATTTTGGGGGGCTGAGAAGATAGAGCAGTATTTTGACGATGGTTAGCTTTTAGTTTTAGGAAGTTCTATAAATCTTAATAAGTGATTTTGCCCATAGCTGGACTAGTATCAGGCCAGCAGGATGGAAAGGGCAATTTCGGAGTGGAGACAGATGATGCTGGAGGCCAAGTCAGGGACAGGATCGATGGAAGGGATTTGGGTAGAGAGTGAGCCTGACATGATGTGGTGCCTCAGGGCATATACCCAGCCTCTGAGGGAAATGTCACTAACACCTTTCTGTTTGAGGGAGAAAGAACCAGCACATATCAAACTCTCACATGTACGGGGACGTTTGCTGGGTGTTTTTCACATGTACTTTTATTTAATCTTTATAGCAACCTCGTGAGGCTGAACTTCTGACAACCTATCACAAAGCAGGAAATTGAGACACGGAGAGGTAAGGTGGCTCACCAGGTGTCTTACTCTTAATAAGTGAAAGAGTGTGGATTTAATTCCAGTCATCTCTGATTGCAATGCCTATGATAGTTGCAATATAGCAGGAAACTAGTGTATAGCTGTTTATAAACCCATTGCTTGTGGGGATGCTAAGTCTGCAAGAATCAGCTTGGGAGTAGCCCTTCCTGTTAAGATATAGATGCTCCAGGTGAGACTGAAGCTCCCGTCGGTTTCTCACTAGGTACTGATCTCTGAGTATGCCTCATGGGTGCTCTTCAGAGGAGGATTCTTCCCACGAAAGCTGATGGAGGCGTAATGCAGCTCCTGCTCCAACTCCAAGGGAGGGGTGGTCTCTGCAGAGCTTGAGGAGTCAGTGGGGCTGTCTAACTTGGACTTCTGCTGGTGACTCTGTATGAAATGCAAAGAAGGGAGTCAGTGCAGGGCAGTATGGTGGGGGGTAGGGGGGGAAGAGTAGACAGGAGGGAATGGAGGCAGAAAAGCTCCCTGAAGTCAATTTGATTGTGACAGGACATTTGCTCATTCTTCCATTCTTTTAGCAAACATTTCTTAAGATCCCATTTACTCAGTTATTCAACAAAGATAGGACTTATTGGCTGCTTTCCAATTTTCTGAACTCTCATAGACCTATGTGGAAAATACTGTTATTTTTACTAAGAAAGAAACTAAGTCTCAGAGATGTTAGGTACTTCTCAAGGTCACACATCTAGTGATCATGAACTCAACCCCTGGCTTCTCAAAGGTTTCCTATGTGCCAGGTACTGGACACACAGGGAGATGTTTATGAAAAACTACTCGTCCTGTTTGTGTCTCCTTCACTCTTGTATTACTGTCACACTCACAATAATTCTGACTTAAGATACGTGGGCTTTTACCCCACCACCAACCAATTTTCTGACACCAGCTGGGTGTCCTACAATATAACTCAGTTCCAACACTATCTACATGGAGATATTGTCAGATCCAACAGGTTAAGGGCTCAGTCCTATAACATGCAACCCCAACCCCCACTGCCACTTCAGGCACCAATCGCAAGTTCAACGTTGTCACCTGTGATTCTGATCAACTCTTCAAGTTCAATTAATTTGCTAGAGTGACTCACAGAACTCATGAAAACAGCTTCCTTGCTGTGTACCAGCTTATAAAAGGATGTGATAAAGGATACAGATGACCATCCAGACAGAAGAGATGCATAAGGCAAGGTGTGTAGGAAGGGGTAGACTTTCATGTTCTCTCCAAGTACACCATTCTCCCAGTGCCTTCATACAGACCCCCTCTTGGAAGCTCCCCAAACCCCAAACTCTGAGGATTTATATGGATTTTTCATCATGGAGGCATGATAGATGATTAATTCCATTTCCAGCCACTCTGCCCTCTTGGATAATGAAGGATAGGGCTGAAACTTCTAAGCTTCTAATTTTGGCTTGATCTTCCTGGTGCCCAGCCCCCATCCACGAATCCACCATGAGCCACCTCATTAGAACAAAAGACACTCCTATCATCCAGGAAATTCCAAGGGATTGAGGGGTACAAATATTTCCTGCTGCAGACTCATTTCTCAGCTCTACATTTATGGCAACACTTCTCAAAAGAGTCTTTATACTTTCTCTCCTTCCCTTCTTTTTTTAATTCACTCCAATAAAGACATTTGCCTTCACAAGGCTACTAGATCTGTTTTTCTTGAGATCAGCAGTGATGTCACTTGGCTAAATTTAAGTGTTTATATTTCAGATCCTTAATAAGTCCTTCCTGGGCTTATTAACACTTGATAAAAATGAGCACTCTCTCCTCCCTGAAGTTGCACTACCCCTTGGCCACCAGGACTCAACCCTATACTCTCAAGGACATTTATTTTTATCCAGTGGTCTTCTTGCTGTTTCTACCTTATCTCCTTGACTCTAAATGTTGGGGCATCCCAGGGCTCTGTTTGCAGACCCCTTCTCTTCATTGTGTTTTCATCCACTCTCAGACCTCGATGTGAAAGAACCCCAATTCCCTGTGTCTCCCACCGGGACCCCTCTCCCAATTGCCAGACTCTGGCCATCTACTTGTCATCTCCACTTGGACATCTCAGAAGCACCTCAAAGTTGTTGTAACGAAAATAAAGTTTGATTCCCTCTTAAAAATGTAGTCCTCCTTGAGAGCTGGCAAGTTCAGGAATTGGAAATTCAATTCTTTAAGTCTCTCAGGGCAACCACATTGGAGTCATCTTTGATATCTATGGGCATTTATGACAATCTCTGGAAATCTGTGACATCCATGGAGTCATCTTTGACAGCGATGACATCTATGAGGTAAAGGCAGTGAGCTGCCTTTGCTCATACTCCAGGTGTACCTTGCAAATCCTGTTGGCTCCACCTTCAACATGTATCCAGATTCCAACTGTTACACACCAGAGGCAACATTATTATCCCAAACTAAGTCTGTCTTATAAACTGAATTGTGTCCCCTTTCCCAAATTCATATGTTGAAGCTGTAACCCCCAATGGGACTGTATTTGGAGATGGGGCCTTTAAAGAGCTAACGAGTTTAAGTGAGGTCATTAGGGTAGGACCCAAAATGACTTAAATCCTTAGAAGAAGAAGAGACACTAGAAATGCGTGGGCACAGAGACAAGGCCATGTGAGGACACAGCGAGAAGGAGGCCATCTGTAAGGCAAGGAGAGATTTTCCAGGAGGAATATTTTACGTTCATCTCATAACAATGTGTGAAAATACAGATATTACCCAAGCACTCAGAACAATCAACAAGTGGGAGATATCTGCTGAAGGAAAGGATAAATGCATGGGCGATTGCTGATCATGTGCTCAGAAACCTCACAGTGGTGTCCACATTAGCCAGAGTTAAATGAATGAATGAGAAGTCAGAGCTCAGAAGAAAGGCAGCAACAGGGCAGGCTGACCTAGGTGTGTGAGGAGTAGGGGACAGCCAAGCAATGATTCTGAGATATAAAAAGATTACTCTGCTAAAGGCAAATGAACAGGCCAGTGTGGGTGTTGTGACACAGTGGGGGTGACTCTGGCTTTCTGCCCCAAATTCCAGACCACATTGTCGGATCCTCATCTTTTGGGAGCGTGGGGAAGCATTTCAGACTTGGGTGAGATGGTGATCTTTTGTGGAGGTAATGCTAACAGGCCGGGGAGGAGAGATAGAAGGGCTGCAGCGGGATAAGCACGTAGCGGGGAGCTCAGCTCAGAGGGAACGGTTCTATTGAGCTGTGTTTAGAAGAAGCACATACACGCTTTGCAGCATATTGGTGCAGGAAGAGGTGATGAGACATGGTCAGGTTCTAGTTGGGTGTCAAGGACAAGGATGCCATCAGTGAGATGGAGAATCCAGAAAAAGTATGTATTAACCATGTGCTTCAGGTGTTCTGACATCTGGGCTAACCCTAGGGGGACACGCCTGCCAGGAACAGGCAATTGCTAGAGGTGGTAAGGACTTGCTGTGAGCATGCCGTTCGTATCTAAAGCGATCAGTCAGAGCGCACACCCCAACCACCTCCGTTATGGAGCTCTTACACTCCAGACCATTCTCCTCCTGCCCTAGTCACGCCAGGGCCAGGTCGCAGACAAGGGGAGACAGCCACCACACCCCAGAGCCCACGGAGTTCTTCAAACTCGCCAGCCCTAAGCCTGCTTCCCCGGCCTCGCCTTGCCTTCCTCATGTAGTCCAGCATCAAGGCTCCTGCCCATGTTTTCTTCTCACCCCCTCAGCCTCCTGACCAACCCTGGTGCTGCCCCACGTGGCCTTGAGTGGTGTGGCATTTCCCCTTTCTCTTGGGAAATATGAGGAACTAACTGTGGCAACCGTCTCCCAATCTGTTGGGCTGACAGACCTGAATAGTAATACAACCTACATTTTAAAAAAATGGGACGGCAAAGAGCTCATTTGTGGACACACTAAATGGAGCGAAACTGTGGACCACCCCGGAAATGTGGGGGGCAGGCTGCATGCCAGGATGCCCGTGTCACTCACCAGGGTAGTTGGCCCGACGGCAGGATGGATATCGTCCACACCCACTGCTGTCCTGGCTGCTTTCTTCCTGTGGGTCTTCACTCTGAAGGGAGACACCAGGGCCTTTGACACATGGTCGCTCTTTGAAGCTGGAGTGAGTGACTAGGGCAGGTCAAGAGTGGGGTGAGCCCAGGCAGCCTCATGACAAGACTTTGTAACAAGACCGGATCCCCACCCCTCAGTTCCTGGACATCTGGAATCAGACTGGATCATATCAAGCCTGGCTCAGTGGCTACTGGGTGGACTGTCACCAACACTGCATCCCCAGACTGTCTGTGGGCACCCCCAACTCCTCCAGGTCCCTCTTCTCCACCCCTGGCCCACACCTGACCCAGCTCACTTGAAGTAGATAAGGAAGAGGCAGAGAGCAAACAGTGCAGTGATACCAGCTCCCGTGACGGCCCCCAGAACCACTCCTGATCTGGTTCCCGGTTCCCCTGCAGACAAGAGAGAATTGGAGTGAACTCCAATCTTGATTAGTTGGCATAGTTTCCTCTTTCCAGCATCAAAGCAGGGGTGCCCCTCTCCTCCCACCCGGGGCTCAACCACCGGTTCACCCACTGCAGGATGAAGAACACGGTCTATGTGACACCTCCTATCCATCTCCTGTCCAGCAAAAGGCATCTCTTCTAGGACCAAGGTTCTTCTCAATCTAAGGTCTCCCTACAGCAGACTCTGACCTGGCTGCAACAGGACCTTGAGGCTCAGGGTTTCATGGGCATTACACAACACACACACACACACACACACACACACACAAACACACAAAGCGTTTTGGGATGCTGAAAGGCCTCGTCCCTCTTCCCTTCCTGGGAGTGTTGGAATCTCCTATCCTGGCCTCCACCAGCCCGTTCACAAAGGATAAAATGTGGCCTTTTGTGCACCAGAAGGCGGTGAAAATGGGGAGGTTCTCAGCCCTTCAGACAAGACCCAGATATCTCTCCTGGTCCTGTCTGGCCACGCCTCCTGGGAGCCCAACACCTGGAGTCAGGGATGTGTTTCTGGGCATCATTTCCTAGCAGTCTGATGGGCACTGCTGAGAGAGAGCACTAACAGGGTCACTGTCTAATTGGGGGGGACCAAATGCAGTCACCAATGGAATAGGGCAATGGGGGGAGCTCTGGGCTCCACAGGCAGATCAGGGTGAGGGCCAGGGGGATTGACAGTCAAAGAACAGCCCAAAGGTGGCCGGCCAGGAGGTGCAGTTGATTAAGAGAGCGAGCGCTGAGCAACAGGGTCGCAGGTTGAATTCCCACATGGGCCAGTGAGCTGTGCTCAAGCTGAGCTGCCCTTGAGCTGGTGAGAGCGTGTGTTCATAACAACAAGGTTGTTGGTTTCACTCCCGCATGGAATGCTGGGCTGGGCTGCCCACCCCTCACCTCTGCAACTAGATTGAATGGTGCAACTGGACTTGGAGCTGACCTGTGCCTTCCACAACTAAGATTGGAGGACAAAAACTTGACTTGGGGATGATGGGTCCTGGAAAAACACAATGTTCCCCTTCCCCGATTCCCCAAAACTGTTTTCTTCCTCAATTCTCCAATATAATCTTAAAAAAAAAACCAAAGAGATTTTTGGAGCTGTGAGACTACTTCTTGATAACCCACAGAATGTCCAACACTAAGAGTGAACCCTAAGATAAATTATAGGTTTGGGTGAGAATGGACGTGTCACTGTAGGTTCATCAATTGTAATAAATGTCCCTCTGGCGAGGGGTGTTGACAGTGGGGAGTCAGTGCATGTGAGGGAGGGTGCAGTAGGTATAGGGGACATCTCTCTACATTCTGCTCAATTTTACTGTACATAAAACTACTCTAAAAAATAAAGCCTACTTGAAAATGCCCAAAAGCTTTTATGACAGGAGAAGGTAAAGAGCATCGTTTAAGATGGGCAGGGAAGAGAGGGTGTGGGGGTCACCCTGGCAGAAGAGCAGTAGAAGAATATGGGGGAAGATGCCAGATGGGGTATCTCGTGTATCGGGCCCCACCCTCACCATTTGAACTCTGAAAGTTTAGCTGTGTATCCACTTGGCAGAGACTCCCCTTCATTCAGTGTCACATGGACAGGAGGCTCCTTCCTACCTGAGCCGTCTCCTAGGCAGACACCAATTTTGGGGTTCTGTGGGGCACCTAGGACAAGAATAGAGGAGTTCCATCCTTAGTGGGGATGTATTGGGTTAGGTTCATGTAGGCACCACCCTCCACACACCCAGAGCTACAGAAATGCAGAAGGGACAATACTTGTGTCCTCTTAGTCACCTACTCAGCCAGGCCTCCAGAACAAAATCACCGAGTGTTCCCACCAGATCCTCTGGCCCCCCAACACCTCAGGAACTCAAGCTTCCTGGCCCAGCACTCACAGGTGATGTTGAGCTGGATGGTTGTCTCCACGGTCACACCAGCTGCAGGAAACTTCACCTGACAGGTGAGGTTAGTGCCGTGGTCCTGGGGCCGAGGTGTGAGGGTGATCACAGAGGAGAGGAGGGTCCTGGGGCCCAGGGAGGTGAGGGCAGCTGAGGTCCAGGAGAAGATGGGGGGCGTGCCCCGCTCACAGGCCCAGGGCACAGAGCAGGTCAGGTTTCTTGGGAGGCCGGACTCCAGTGTGCCCGGGATGCGGATGAGGGGAGTATGGGTCAGGGCTGATGAGAGGGGGAGACACGGGATCAGGAGGGAGGGTCCCAGGTGCAGCCCTGAGAGAAGCCTCAGGCTTTGGTGCAGCTGCTCCCTCTGAGACCAGACCTGCTGTACACCAGCACCCTCCCTGGAGGGTGTCCCTTCCCCACCGGTCCTGAACCCCCATGCCGTTCTGCTGTGACCTATCCTAGGGTGCATTCCTTACACGTCACATGCACGAAGAGCAAGTTAGATCTGTAACTCCATGGCTTGTTTTGCCCTCTCTCAATCCGAAAAAAGTATTTTCCATCATCGTTCCTCCTGGCATCTCTGATGTCCAGGGAGCAGTTATAGGTCTGAGGGTTTCCGAGGAGGTAGAATCGGCTCTGGGTCTCCTCCTGCACTTTCCAATCTGGCTTGTTTGTGGCCACTGCAGCATCTTGCTTTTCATTGGCCCCTTCCCGGAACCAGAACCCGTGAGCCAGGTCAGAGTCTGACCAGTAGGGATTATATGTTCGGGGATAGGTGAAATTGCAGGGCACGAAGACACACAGGCCCTCCTGCACCATCACAGACCTCCGCACTTTCAGCCAGTATCCTTTATCCTGAGCCAGGGACCCTGTGGGGAAAGGAGGGTCAGCAGAGCCCCCACCCCACCACCCCTTCCCTCGTCCACTCACCTGCCCACAGCAGGGGCAGCAGCAGCGGCAGCATCTCTGACACGGAGGGTTTCTGGGTTCTTGTGGGAGAAAAGAGAAGGAAGGCAGTGGGATGGGCACTGGGGGAGACCACAGAAGCTGGGGCGGAGCACGGGGCCTCCCCATTCACAGAAGAGGAACCTCGGAGATGAAGCTCACTCCCCCTAAGCACTGAGGGTGGACACCCCACAGACCAGAGACCCAGAGACCCACCCAGAGAGGAGCAGACAGGGGGCAGGACTCAGGTCCTGACCCTCACGGGGGCTTCCCTCCAGCACCAGAGAAGGACCAGGACCTCTGAGGACATGGGAGTCTCTATGGTCCTCCCATCTGAGGAGCTGTTCTGAGCAGTGATGTCTACACCAGAGAGCCAGTCAACTGCTGTCTTGACCTGGAGGGTCACAGTCTCATCCAGACCCTCAGGTTATTGGTCCTGCAAAGTGTAGGATTCTTTAGGGTTTGTGTGAGCACCTGGGACAGAAGAAATAAGGGGGTCCCAGGTAAAGTAAAGGCAGCATCCATCCATCCATCCATCCATCCATCCATTCATCCACTAGATTCTCAGTGAGTATATAAGTGCTTGTTGGCTGGAGACAAGAAGAAATATGATGGACCGGTCTATGTCAGTGACATGCTCCCCACTCAGTGATGTCATTTCCTCCCCAAACACATGCAACTGCCAGACTTTAGAGCTGCAGTCACTGGTGAGTTTACCCTGTATCCTACTAGCATACTGAGTAATTTCTAAAATTATCAGTGAGTTTTGTTTTTACATCTAATATGCTGATTCCTGATGATTCAATGGCATCTCTGAAATAAAATGATGTGGCTACTTCATGTAAAACAAAGAAGAACAGATGTTCTGTGAGCCAGTGCACAGGAAGCTCTTTCTGTGATTCCCACCATTCAGTGCTGTTTGAACTGGAGAAACTGTTTTACTTCCTCATCACACAGATTAGCATTTCTTGTCATGTGAAACATCTGCTTCAAGTATCCAAGTATGTAGTCCACAACAAAGTTGTGGATAAACGAATGCATTAAAGGCATTTCTCATTATGTTATGCAGTGTGGTTTCCATATGGAATATGTTTCTTCCAGCCTTTAGCAATAAGATATTTACGTTTTCAAGTAAACTACATACTTTCTTTTATCAGATAATAAAATTTCGATTTCCCTTGTTGCATTGGCTGCTAGGAATCTCAGGGTTATATTTGGTACTTAATTTCAGAAACAGTGTCATTCTAGCTTCTTTATATAATTATGTCATTTTTCCTAGGTGAGTTCTGTTATGCCTTTAAAAAATTGCTACTTTGGAAGTGCCATAACATTGTAAGTCACCTCAAATCCTTTGTGGGACTATGAAGGGTCTAATTTCTACATGAAATAAAAATAAGTCAGAGTTGTTGAAAAACTGATTCTCACTGTTAAACGTAGCTCAAAAATATAATATTTCTGGCAAACCTGACTGGACTATGAGGCAGCAATTATGATTTTGAGTTCAGCTAATGTGGTTTTCCATCTCACTGTGTGTAGTATTCATTGGGCAATTTCTTGAGCCCAGTGACAAAAGTATTTGCCATGATGTATGTAAAATCTTTCAAACACAGTAGTGTCTGGATATATGGTCCTTCAGTCTTACTAGCATAGACAGATTTTTGCACCCCTATTTGATGTATAAGGAAATGAGTCTACCATAAGCAAAATGATATCTTGCTCTAGGTTGTTAAAAAATAAATTAAGGGCCGGCCGAGTAGCGTGATGGTTAAGAACTGGCTTGGGATGCCAGAGGGCCCCGGTTTGGATCCCACATGTGAGGGCCAGTGACACTGCCCTCTACAGCTAAGATGCTGAACAATACCTCAACCTGAAGCTGGGTTGCCATGAGTCGCCAGCGATGGTGTAAGCTGCAGCCCCTGCTGCAGTGGGTTGCCATGGGCTACCGTGTGTAGCCAGCAGCCAGGTGAGCAGCCAGCAGCCACCGTGAGCGGCTGTCCAGAAGCCAGTGACTGATCTGCCTCTCCTGGGAAGAGCGCAATGATGGTGCCAATTTCGGCCAGTGAAGCAGCGTCCTCCACAACTAGACTGAAGAACAAAAAGACAGCAACTTGTCTGTTCTCCTTCCCCCAATTCCCCACCGCTGTTCCCATCCCCCAATTCCCCAATAAAAAAATCTTTAAAAAAATGTAGCACATAATAGAAGGCCCAACACCATTGGGTTTATAGTAAAGAAAGTTATACTATGGTCATATATGGGATGCTTCTGTGACTTCTCACTGTGTATCTTTAAAGAACTTTATAATTTACATAAAATAAAATGTACCCACCTGAAATATGCATTTCTGTGAATTTTAACAAATGTAGACATCCACAATCAGGATATAAAAGATTTCCACCACCCCAAAGAGCTTTCCACACACCTTTGTGATTCATCACACCCACCTCCCGCCCCAGGTAAGCACTGATACAGTCTCCATCATGGTGAATTAATTCTGTCTATGGGGGAAGTTCTAGAAATGTACTGATCTGTGTCTATATTCTCTCACTCAGCAAAATACTTTGGAAATTAATCCACGTTGTATGTATCTGTAGTTTGTAATGTCTTATTACTCTGTAGTATTGCATTGTATCTCATCGTGGTTTTAATCTCTAATTTCTTAATAAGTGGCATGGAGCATGTTTTCATGTGATTAGTTGCCATTATTTTTCTTCTTTGGTGAATCTGCTGATTGAATACTTGGATCCCTTTTTTAATATTATGGTAAAGTATACATAATGAAAACCTTACCGTTTAAACCATTTTAATTGTCTGGGTCTGAGGCACTCAGTATAGTCACATTGTTGTGCGACCATCACCACCATCCTTCTCAGGACTTTTTTCATTTTATCCAAACTTTGTGCCCATGAAAAGAATAACCATGCATCTCGCTGTGCCAGACCCAGGCAACCACCATTCTACTTTCTGTCAATTAATTTGCCTCCTCTAGGGACTTCATATAAGTGGAATCATACAGAATTTGTCCTTTTCTAACTGGCTTGTTGCATTGCTCGTAGTGTCTTCAATTCGTATTGTAACATTTGTCACAAATCGCTTGATTTTAAGGCTGAATAATATTCCATTGTATGTGTTCATCACATTTAGTCCTTCCGTTCCTCTGTTGATGGGCCCTTAGGTTGCAATTACCCTCTAGTTTGTGAATCATGCTGCTATGAACAGAGTGTATAAATACCTATTTAAGTTCCTGCTTCCTATTTTTTGGGTATATACACCAAAGTGAAATTAGTGGATCATCTAGTAAGTCTATGTTTAATGTTTTGAGGAACCTTGATGTAGGTGCACAGTTTTGTAACCCTAACAGCAAAGCATATAGTTCCACTTCCTTCACAACGTCACCAACACTTGATATTTCGCGTTTTAGTTTTTTTAAAATCATAACCATTTATGGAATAATGGAGGATAAACCTCACTGTATGGCTGTAATTTGCATTTCCCTAATATTAGTGATGTTTTGCATATTCTCACGTGTATTTTCTATTTGTATAAGTTCAGGGAAATGTCTAATGAATCTTTTGCCAATTTTTAAATAGGGCTGTTCGGTATTCATTGCTGACTGAGGGTTTTTAAAAACAAATTCTTTTTTACACAATTGGTTTCATTTCCTTGTTTGTTTACTACTGTATTGTTTGAGAGTCCTTGATATATTCAAATACAAGTCATTCGTTGAGTATATATTTGTAAATTATTTTCTCCCAGATTTAAATTGTACTTGTAGCTCTCTTAAATTTGGCTGTTACAGAACAGCAAGCTACTGTTCCCTAAAACATGTGTCATTCGTGAGGTGACCCACTAATTATCTGGACATGAAACAGCAGAGTAAACAAGGTCTGGAGGCCAGATGGGCCATTCAGGGGGGCAAAAGATCATATGATCAGTCAGTGGGCTGAATAAAGGCCACCCAAAGATATCCAGGTCTTAGTCCCTGGTACCTGCAAATGTTCCCTGATAGGGAAAAGGGGTGTGTAGAGATGGGATTAAGGTAAGGATCTTGATGTGGAGATCTTCCTAAATTATCAGCGTTGGTCCCTGAATCTAGTCACAGGTGTCCTTTAAGAGAGAGGCAGCGGTGACACAGAGCGGGATGAGGCAATGTGACCATAGAGACAGAGCAGTCATGCAGCCACAACCCAGGGAGAGCTGGCAGCCACATCACCTGGAGAAAGCAAGGTATGGATTCTGGAGTGAGTGTATCACAGCCAACACCCTGACCGATGCCAGTAACATAATTTTGGAGGATGGGGTTCAGGACATGTTACCCCAAGATGTGGCCCCTAATCTTTCTTTGTTACAAGGGTCTCAGTTGAGAATGTAGATGGGCAGAGGGAGCAGATATTTTCCTTCCCTAAGCAGATTTCTGGCCCCCAGAGCTGAGAAAATAAATTTCCTTTTTTCAAGACACCGAGTGTATGGTCATTTGTTACAGTGGCCCCAGGAAACCAGTGCAGGTGGGGATTCAGTGAGCCCAGCTGAGGGATGCAGAGAAGCACCAGAGCAAGTCCTCCTTCACCAGACCCATTCCTCTGTGCCTCTTTGCAGCCAAATTCCTCAAAAGCTCCTTTGTAACCACCCTTCCCATCCCCTCCTCCGGGATCTCCTGATTAAGTTTGGTCACTATTTCACACCTTTCCCACCAACCATGAGACAACTGTTGTCAGGATCACCAGAGACAACGTGTTGCCTGTGCCTTCTCTCCTCCATGTGTCATCAGACCTCTTCTGACTTCATCAGGCATCATCACCTACACTGGCTGTGCGTGTTCACGTCTCCAGTCTGGACCCCTCTCCTCATATCCAGCTCTCTCACTGGCAGCCCCAGTCGCTATCAAGTGGCTGCTCAGAATGAACATCACCCTCCAAAGAGTCCAGTCTGCATCCATGAAACAGGTCCCCTTTCTTCCAGGTGCTCGAGAGAAGCATCTGGACACTGTCCCTGCTCTTCTCTTTCCCTCAATCCCCACATCCAATAAAGAATTCAGTCAAATTGACCGTCAAAATATATGGAAAAGTAAAACCTCGGCCTCCCCTCCACCTCCCTTGTTCAACCACCGTCACCTCCTGCCCCCCCCCATGCCCTCTCTGTTTTGCAGACGTGGTCACACTGTGGCCTATTGTGATCAGAGCAGCCATGGGGATGCTCTACAAGGGATGCTCTGCCATGTCTCTGCTCTCCTCCGAGGCTCCAGATTCCTGCATTTTCTGCCAAGCCTTACATGGCGTGTCCATGAGGGGACACCCTCCCAGCAGCCCCTCCCATGCCTCCCTGTGCTGTCACAGCACCAGTTGTCCCACAACTCCCCCGGCTGCTCTGCCTCAGAGCAGTGACACTGCTTTCCCATCTTCCTGGGTAAACTCCATCAGGCAACACAGAACCTTCTTTCTCACTGTCTCCCAGTCTGTGCTCAAATATCACTCTTCACACTCTCAGGTGTATAGAATTGTCCCCCAATGTGTCACCTGATTCTTCCCTTAGGTGATTCCTCCACAAACACATATCACCATCCAACCTGCCAGAATATTTTTATTCATTTCTTTGTGTTTCTATCTTCTTGTCTCCAGATTGACAGCTTCTTGATGACAAATTTTTATATGATGTGCCCTCTTGCATTTCTGTCACCTACAACAATGCTGGCACATAGTAGGTGTTTAGTTAACTTGCTGAAGAAGTCTATATGTAAATAGATGACTTGATTTTCCATTGCTCAAAACCATAAAGAATCACACACACACACACACACACACACTCAATAAGGGTGAATTTTAACTGAGGCTGAAACGTTATTAGCACATGGGAATGTAGAAATGGGGAGGAAAGGGCATTTCAGGAGAAGGAACTGCACATATGAGTCTAAAGTCACAAACAGCACAGCTGGGTGTGGAGATGGTGTGGGATGCAGGGAGTGGTGGAATCTGGTAGGGAGTCCAGCAGGGGCAGACCACAGCAGACCCTCCAATCCAGCCTGTGGTGTTTGCACCTGGGTCTCTGGCCACGGACAGGAAACGCTGCTGTCATACTTTTCAGGAAGCGAACAACACGGTCTCTGGAAACACTGCCTGGAAGCCTGTGCTGAGGAGTGAGATGGAGGCAGGAGGTTGGTGGGTTCACAGACACAAGGAAAAGATGAAGTGGCAGGAGCCACCAGGGTGAGGATGGAGAAGAGAAAGGCATTATGGTGAGCTGTGATTAGGAAGCATATGAAATAATCTTAGTGATTTATTGGATCAGAGAGAAGGAGGGAGGGCAAAGTGGAGAACCACATCTTTAGAGGAGGGAGCCACTGTGTCATTCATATGACAGAGAGCTCAGAAGAGGATTAAGTATGGGGAGGAAGGAAGGGGACAGCTCAGATATTGCCATATTGAGCAGAGAAATCCCTGGGGTCATCCTGGAGAAGGTATCTGTGGAATATTGGGTGGTGAGACACCTGCATCACTCACCTGAGACCTTAACCCAGGATGGTGTTTGCATCCTGTGTGCTCCCTGAAGCTGTGGTCCTGTGCCTCCTGTGATACTTCACTCTAAGAAAAGAGACCAGGGCCCTTCAGTCTGGTTGGATCAGGGTGCAGTGGCCAGTAGACCCAGCTGCCTGTTCCCTGTTCAGGATCGGAGAGGAGACAGAGGTGGTAGAGGGCAGGTCTAGCCACACAAACCTCCTTGAGCACAGCAGGCACCTCCATCCTGGACACTCGCCGACTGGAGCACACACATGACTGCCCGTGTGGAATCCTCACCCACCTCCCCTTCGCCTCCTGTCATTCCTGCTGCAACTTGTTGGGTCACTCAAGCCCTGATTCTGGGACTCAGTCACATGCCCCCTGCCCTCCCCATGCCTCCCCCCTCACTGGGCAGAACTCACATGAGGACGATGAGGCAGAGAAGGAACAGGGTCTTGACAGCCACTTCCCCGATGGCCACCAGCACCACCTCTGACCTGGGCCCTGATTTCCCTGTAGGGACTAGAGACAAGGATAGATTCACTGGGTCAACAGCAGGCCTGTGTATCTTCCTCTCCCAGGAGGATTCTGTCTGTTGTCCTCCAGGCCTTTCTACAGCACTGGTTGTGGGACCACCCATGCCTTCACCCTCCCTGTGCTCTGACCTTTCAGCAGTTGGGCTCAGAAAAAAATACACAAGTTTGACCTCATCAATTGAAACATCCTGTTTATCAATTCACACTATGCAGACGGTGAAAGCCAACCCATTTAATGGGAGAATATATTTGCTAATCAGAGATCTGATAAGGATTATTACCCAGCATATATACAGAATTCTTACAACTAAACAACACAAAGCCAATCACCCAGTTAAAAAATGGGCAAAGGGGCCGGCCAATTGGCTCAGTTGGTTAAGAGTTAGCTTAAAGAGCGCGAGTTCTGAGCACCTGTGCCGCCAGTTTGGATCCCACATTGGCCAGTGATGCTGCACCCTCTAATGTAGGGAGCCAGAGGCTTGCAGTAAGGTTTAAGCCTGAGAGCTGGAGGTTTATATTAAGGGTTAAGCCTGAAAGCTAGCAGTTTGATAGGCTCTCAGGACCAGGTGAGTAGCATGGAAGGTTGGCTGCTGATGAGAAAATGGCCAATGGCTTGAAAACTTCAGAGTGGAATGCCATCCTATTAATAGTTTCTGCTTGTTACGTTTTGCTTTAACCCTGGGAAGATTGCTTTCTACACCTTATGGAAAGTCTCGGGGGAGGTGTTCCCTGGGAGGAGGGGACTATTCCATCAAGTTCCCAAACCCCCCTACCTAAAGAAAGTTACTTTTGTTGTAAAAGCTGTGTATAAACAATAAACGGGGCCACTCTCTGCTATCAGCATTGGGTGGACCTCCTGTTCCCAGCTTTCGTCTCTAGCTCTTTCTTTTCTAGTCTCCCACCCAATCCTCTCAGGTACCCTCTTGGTAGCCTCCTGGCTGACGAGTCAGGAGTGCTCGTTTGATGTGCGGGTCACATCACTCTAAGATCCTGAATAACAGTTCGACCAAGAGCTCGGCTGCAGTGAGTCGCCGACAATGGCATAGGCTGCAGTTGGGCTGCCGTGGGCTGCCGTAAGGTACAATCAGTGGCCAGCAGCCAGTATGAGCGGCCGGCAGCCAGTGTGAGCTGCCGTGAGCTGCCATAAGCCAACGTGAGTGACCGTCCAATGGCCGACGACCAACTGCCTCAGCTGGGAAGAGCACAACGATCACAATACCAACATAGGCCAGTGAAGAGGCGTCCTTCACAACTAGATTGAAGAACAAAAGGACAGAAACTTGTCTGTTCCACTTCCCTGATTCTCCAATGTTGTTTCCTCCCCGAGTACACCAATGAAATCTTAAAAAAAAAAAAAAGCCATCATTAGGCCGGAAATAAAAATTTTCAACTATCACACAGCTGATTTTCTTAAAGAGAAAAGAGATGCTTCAAGTGATTAAGAAGAGGTCTACAAAGAAATATAAATGCCCTTTAAGCATAATGAGACTCAACCTAGTCACAAAATGACAATGCCAGTTAAAATGATAATGAATTCACTTGGCATGTCAGCAAGAACAAAATGCTCAGCAGGGGGACAGGTACACTGCGGGGAGGGTATCAGCAGAACAGTGTCAGGAAGCAGGACTTGGTATTATCTGGAGAAACTACAAACATATCCTTTGATCCAGGACACCCTTCTCTAGGAAATTTTCTTCCAGTCACATACACATACATAGGGAATGTTTGCACAAGTAATTCATTGCCGCATTATTTGTCTTAGGTGAAAACTGAAAACACCACAGTTTTCAACCAATGGGGGACCAATGAAGGGTTTTATAGTATAATATACTACCAGATGGGAAACCATGGAGTCCTCAATAAAAGTGAAAGGTTTCCTAAATACAGATCCAAGAAGTCCTGCAAGATCTACTAAATTTGAAAAAAAAGGGGGGGTTTATTTATTATAAAAATACAAAGGCAACTTCTTAGTTATGACAAATGCGCCATGGTGATGGAAGCCTCTAATGATGAGGGATTTATGGAAACTCTGTACCGTGTAAATCTGAATTACACCACAATTAAAAGTTTTTTAAAAAGACTCAGAGCAATGTGCATAATATGGTGTAAAAACACATACAAGTGTGTTTTTAATGTACATGTATACATTATTTTTGGAAAGATAACCAAGAAGGGAGGTACACAAGGTATGGAATACTATTTTCTTCTTATTAAACTTTGCTAGGAACTCAATTGTGTTCCACTTAAGTTTATATGTTGAAGCCCTAACCCCTGCAGACAAGAGAGACTTGGGGTGAACTCCAATCTTTTTTTTCCCAATTTTCCATCAATCTTTATAAAATCTTAGTATGGTACAAGGCAACCAAATTCATTTAATTTTTACTACTTTAATACCAGTATTGAAAAACATCTTCTACTATTTTTATGCAGAGGCATTCTTCCCACTTATGCTCTGTGTCAAATAGGCATCTAGAATGAGCAACTTAACAACTCTTTACCATCTAACTCCCTTGAAATCTGAGTAAGCTCCTAGCAATCAACTTACAAATGAATTTTATAGAATACAACCTTTTATAAAAAAGAGGCTACATGTTTATTTATTAACTAGTTAGTGTTGCAAAAAGCAAGAATTATTAACTATTTTATGGACATGGGAACCTAGGCACAGAAATATTAAGTGATGTCTTTTTTTCACATAACAAGATCAAATATGAACCTAGAACTAGAGATTAAATCAGATTCTTATACTCCTATTTTCATTAATAATGTAAGTCTACAACTGCAATATAGCCTTACAACAGCATATTAAAACCTAGAGATGAAAAGAATCTCAAGAGAACACTGGTCCAGCTTTCTGTATGAAGGCAGGTATTTATTGTCTGATTACAGAAATGAAAAATTGATTGATCAAGGGCAATCTAAAAATTAAGGAAAATTCCAAATTCAAAGCCTCCAGAAATGCATCATATGCACTGCTATTATTTATTATATTTCAAGAGGAGATATGTGAATCAGAATGGAGTTTTCAGATTTCAGATGATTTCACTTCCTAACTTAAAGCCTAAAAACATAAACTGTAAACTCAGCAAAAGCAACTTATGAATTTGAGAGTAGAATATGTCTCTAAATGATAGTTTAAGGAACTATATTTATAGC